GATGCCATCCTTCACCACTTGTATTTAACATAGTTCTTGAAACACTGTCAGAGCAATTAGACAAGACATTAAAGGGATACAGATAGGTAAAGAAGAAGTCAAGTTAGCACTATTTGCCAACCATATGATTCTATACATAGAAGATCCAAAAAATTCCACCAGAAAACTTCTAAAACTAGTAAATGAATTTAGCAAAGTAGCAGGATGCAAAATGAACACCCATAAATCAAAGGCATTTCAGTGATAAATCCTCTGAAAGGGAAACGAGGAAAACTACCCCATTTACAATAGCATTAAAAACAAAACAAAACAAAACAAAACAAAACAAATAATCAAACAAAAACCCTTGGGAATCAACAAAAGAAGTGAAAGACCTCTAAATTGAAAACTACAGAACACTAAAGAAAATGTGATGTAGAATTTTTGATAACATTAAACAAGAACTTAGAAGATGGAAATATCTTCCTTGTTCTTGGATAGGCAGAATTAATATTGCCAATATGACCAGATTAGCAAAAGCACTATACAGATTTAATGCAATCCCAATCGAAATCCCAATGGCATTCCTCATAGAAATAGAAAACGCAGTCCTGAAATTCGTCTGGAAAAATAACAGACCCAGAATAGCCAAAGCAATCCCTAGCAAGAAGAATGAAGCAAGTGGCATGGATACACCAGAATTTAAATTATACTACAGAGCAATAATAACAAAAACAGCATGGTATTGGCACCAAAGTAGACTTGTAGGCCAATGGTATAGAATAGAGGACACAGAGACTAACCCACATAATTACATTTATCTTATATTTGACAAACGTGCTAAAAAACATGTATTGGAGAAAAGATATCCTCTTCAACAAATGTTGCTGGAAAACTGGAAATCCACATGCAACAAAATGAAATTAAACCCCTATCTCTCACCATGCGCAAAACTCAACCCAAAGTGGATCAAGGACCTAGGAATTAAACCAGAGGCACTGCATCTATTAGAAGAAAAAGTAGGCCCAAATCTCCATCATGTCTAATTAGGTACCAAATTCCTTAATAAGATTCCTGTAGTACAAGAATTAATATCAAGAATCAATAAATGGCTTAGATTCAAACTAAAAAGTTTTTTTCTCAGCAAAAGAAACAATCACTGAGGTGAATAGAAAGCCTACTAATTGGGAAAAATCCTTACCACATGCACATGAGATAGAGCACTAATCTCTAGTATATAAAGAACTCAAAAATCTTAACACCAAAAAACAAGTAACCCAATCAATAAATGGGCCAAGGAACTAAACAGACACTTCTCAAAAGAGGATATACAATCAATCAACAATGATATGAAAAAATGTTGAACATCTCTAGCAATTAGAAAAATGCAAATCAAAACTACTCTAAGATTTCATCTCACTCCAGTCAGAATGGCTGCTAATATGAAGACAAACAACAATAAGTGTTGGTGAGGATATTGGGGGAAAAGGCACACTCATTCATTGTTGGTGAGTCTGAAAGTTAGTGTAACCAATCTAGAAAGCAGTATGGAGATTTCTTAGAAAACTTTGAAAGAAATCACCATTTGACCCAGCTATCCCACTTCTTGGTCTATACCCAAAGGACTTAAAAGCAGCATACTACAGGGACACAGCCAAAGCAATGTTTATAGCAGCACAATTGGCAATAGTTAAACAGTAGTATCAACCTAGTTGCCGTTAAGTAAATGAATGGATAAAGAAAATGTGTTATATATACACAATGAAATATTATTCAGCATTAAAAGTGAATAAAATCATGGCATTTGCAGGTAACTGGATAAAGCCTGAGAATATAATGATAAGTGAAATTAGCCAACCCCCCCAAAAAACAAATGTTGAATGATTTCTCTAATTTAAAGTTGCTGATTAATAATATGCTGTGGGGCAGGTGTTTGTGTGGAAGAATTAAATGAACTCTAGATAGGGCAAAGGAGAAAAGGGGAGGTGGGGGAGGAAGGGGGCATAGGAGTAGGAAAAGTGGAATGTAATACATGTATGAAGACATGAAGTATGTGACTTAACTTTGTGTACAACCAGAGATATGAAAAATTGTGCTCTACATGTGTAATATGAATTGTAATGTATTCTGTTGTCATATATAAGAAATTAAAATTTAAAAAATAAACCACATTCTTATTTTTTGATATAAAATTTTTTTTCTTTTCACTTTTTAAAAACATTTTTATTCATTTTAATTAGTTATACGTGACAGTAGGATGCATTTATGCATTTTGATATATCATACAAGTATGGGATATAATTTCCCATTTTTCTGAGTGTACATGTTGCAGAATCATATTTGTCATGTCTGTTTTATTCTATTATCTTTCCTATCCCCACATCCCCTCTCCTTCCCTCCCATCACTTCCCTCTACCTAATTTAACTTAATGCTATTCTTCCCTAGTGCCCCTCACATTATTGGGAATTAGCATTTGCATATTAGAGAAAACATTCAGCCTTTGGTTTGGGGGGATTGGCTTGTTTCATTTAGCATGTTATTCTCCAACTCCAACCATTTACTGGCAAATGCTATAATTTAGTTTTCTCTAAAGCGGAGTAATTTTCCATTGAGTGTATGTACCACATGTTCTTTATCCATTCATCTATTGAGGGGCACAAAGGCTGATTCTGTTCCATAGTCTAGCCATTGTGAATTGAGCTACAATAAACATTGATGTGGCTGCGTCACCATATAGTATGCTGATTTTAAGTCCTTTCTGTATAGACCAAGGAGTGGGATAACTGAGTCATATGGTGGTTTCTTTCAAGGTTTTCCAAGGATTCTCCATACTGCTTTCCAGATTGTTTGCACCAATTTGCAGTACAACCAGCAATGTATGAGTGTGCCTTTTCCCCAAAATCCTTACCACATTTATTGTTGTCTGTATTCTTAATATCTGCCATTTGGACTGGAGTGAGATGAAATCTTAAGTAGTTTTGATTTGCATTTTTCTAATTGCTAGAGATGTTGAACACTTTTTCATATATTTGTTGATCAATTGTATTTCTTCTTCTGAGAAGTGTCTTTTCAGTTGTGTGGCCCATTTATTGATTTTTTTTTTTTTGTGGTGTTAAGATTTTCAAGTTCTTTATATATCCCAGAGATTAATGCTTTATCAGAAGTGCAGGTGGTAAAGATTTTCTCCCAATCTGTAGGCTCTCTCCTCACTTTATTAATTGTTTTCTTTGCTAAAAAGAAGCTTTTTAATTTTAATCCATCCCATTTATTGATTTGTGATTAAAGAGATAAAAATAGGTAAAGAAGAACTCAAACTACCACTATTTGCTGATGACATGATTCTCTCTCTAGAAGATCCAAAAAATTCCACCAGAAAACTTCTCAAACTAATAAATTAATTTAGCAAAATAGCAGGATATAAAATCAACATGCATAAATTAAATGCATTTCTACATATCAGTGATGAATCTACTGAAAGAGAAATTAGGAAAACTACTTCTAGTGAAAGAGAAATTAGGAAAACTACTTCACTCAAAAAATAATAATAAAATACCTGGGCATCAATCTAACAAAAGAGGTAAAAGACTTCTACAATAAAAATTACAGAACACTAAAGAAAGAAGAAAATCTCAGAAGATGGAAAGATATCCCATGCTCCTGGATAGGCAGAATTAATATTGTCAAAATGGCCATACTACCAAAAGTGTAATACAGATTTAATAAAATTCCTATTAAAATCCCAATGACATTCTACATAGAAATAGAAAAAGCAATCATGAAATTTTTTTTTGGAAAAATAAGAGACCCAGAATAGATAAAGCAATCTTGAGCAAGAAAAGTAAACCAGGAAGCATCATAATACCAGACGTTAAACTATATTACAGAGCTATAGTAATAACAATGGCATGGCATTGGCACCAAAATAGATTTGTAGACCAATGGTATAGAATAGAGGACACAGAGACAAACCCACATAAACATGGTTATGTCATACTAGACAAAGGTGCCAAAAACATTCACTGGAGAAAAGATAGCCTATTCAACAAATGGTGCTGGCAAAACTTCAAAACCATATGTAACAAAATGAAATTAAAACTCTATCTCTCACCCTGCACAAAAATTAACTCAAAGTGGATCAAAGACTTAGGCACTAGAACAGAGACTCTGCACCTAATAGCAGAAAAAATAGGCCCAAATCTTCACCACATTGGCCCAGTATCTGACTTCCTTAACAAGACTCCTAAAGTGCAAGAAGTAAAATTCTTTTTTTAACATTTAAAAAATTATTTTAGCAAATATATCTTCCTGGTATTTTATACCCTAAAAATTTCCTAGTTTATTGAATGATATTCAGATAATTATGTATGTTAGGACTTGAAGAGTCTAAAAAATATTATGGAAGTCATAATAATGTTTTGCAAAAATGTAAAATTGTTTTACATTTGCATGAGAGTTTATAAACAATAAAAGATGAAAAGTTTTGCCAAAGGCCATAGAGGTATTATTAATGGACAGAAAATTATAAACCTTCCATCTTGCTTCGCTGAGCAATGCTCATTCTACTAGATCATGGTGAAGCTCCTAATTTGGTGGGCAGGCAAGGAGCTTATCATTGTGGTTAGGAACATGGATTTTGGGGTAAGACTGCTTGATTTTAAAAGCTTTCTAGGCAATAAATCTCTGTGTTCTCTATAGTTCTTATTTGTCAAATAATTTGTATTTTGGGAACTGTAAGAATGAAATAAAATATTTACATAAATTGTGTTTAAAGCAGCACCTGACACCAGAAACAATAAACAAATCTTAATAATTATGGGTATATTGAACACAAAAAAAGTCCTGGAATTAGCTTTGATTTTTAATTTTCTTCTAAAGCAGGTGAAGCATATTCTTTCTAAAATGTGACTTTTCTAGTTCATTCTTCTCCAGTTTATAATGCAATTGAAAGGTCGCAGGATCACTGATCGTCTCAATCAAAAATTAAGACCTTATTGCCAATCTAAAGCCCACTAGCTCGAAAATGACGCCAGACATAGGAAAATGGGCAGTGAAATAGCCTTTTAGCAGTTATTCATAAATGAATCCCCCCTGGAAGATTTTGGAGAAATTATAAAGTGGCCATTAAACTAGATAATGGTCCATGCAGTTTTCACATTACATAGAAAATAATTCCGATGAATTTTAATTGTAGATATTTTCCAAGAGATTAAAATACTTTACACATATTGAAGAAAGCATGATTTTTTTTCATTTTTGAAATTAAACATATAGTTTTCTAAATGCCTGTATTCTTAATAGCATTGCAATTTTTATCCAATCTAAAAATTAATAATTGCTTATTATGGAAAATTTTGCAAATTGGGGAGAGTTTTAAAAAAATAAAACCACTGCAGTTACAAATACAGTGAGTGATAAACATTTTTAAGGTGTTAATCTAAGTATATATATATATATATATATATATATACATATATATATACATATATAATATACATTTATAAATTCATCTAGACATATGTATACACATGTCTGCAAAATCTAGACACATACATAAATTAAATGCATAATGTTGATTTACTTGACATAATTATTTTATATCAGGATCAGTTTTAGGTACCAAAGATACAGATTAAAAAACACCAAACAGAGGCTCATTGTTATGAAGCCTTCATTCTAGTATACAGAAAAATATAACTGTATAATTTTACAAATTCACATCATACTTTTAGTATTTGCCCTTTACTCCCATGTGTAAATTATTAACAGTTTTTATAACAATATTTTTAACTACCATCCAATTTTAGATTCAGCTTCTTACAAATGTAATGGCATGTATCTTTTTGGAGTAATCCAAGCATGAACACAATTAGCATTTTATAGCTACAACTATTTATCTAAAAATGTGTTTCTGTCCAATAAATTAAGAATGCAATTGCTTTACCAAAGTGGCAAAAGAGAAAAATAAAGGATACTATACTATCAACAACATGATGGATCATTTACACTTGAAATATATTGAAATATTTTCAATTATTACACAATTAACTGCATTTATATATGATTTAATTATGGAGATATGTACAAATATACTCACAGTTATGTTTCTAAAAGGGGTTTGAAGAGCAGATAGAATTATTTAAATCGGTACCAAGTCCAGATGTTTAATTATTTTACTTCCAAATCAATGCATTGAGTCCCCTGTCCCCTAAACTACCTTTTTTCTGAAACCAATATCAGATGAGAAAGAACATTTTAATGTGTATTCTCTACAAATATCTCTGTAAAAGAGTCAAGTACAGCAACATATTTACATGTTTGTCTAGAAATCACAGGCTGCAACTGAGGAGGCAAAGAAGCTGGAATTGTCAACATCATCTTCTGGCTCTCCACCAAATTTCTTGAACAGTCACCTTGACTCTGGTATTTTAAAATGTTAAAGACAAAACTTCCCTTTACCTCTTTTGCCTCCTGCCCCTTAAGTCCTAGTGACTTTTCTGTGATATTGTCTTCTGAATCTATTTCTTTGTTTGCTTATTTCCACCACTGATGTGATCCGTTTTGGGAGCTTCCCACCTGGGTTATCAACTCTTTTCAATTCAACTTGTCTCAAATGAAAACCTTCATCATATATTAAAAACAAACAAAACTCAGTATTTTATTTGGAGGTAATTTAATTCCCTCTTGTAGGCACTTAATGTGATTACCTTAAATGTGAGATGCTATTTAAATTTTAAAAATTAAGAGTGAAAATTTTAATGTATTTTCTTCCTTTATGAATTTAAAAGAGTAATTAATATTGATTCCCAATTGTCTCCCCTCTCCCCCCTCCCTAAAAAAAATCATAGTACTTTTGAGGATGTTAAGCCTCAGGTTTCTGGATAGATGAGAACCAAAACCAAGAACCATCTCAGAGGGTAGAGCCTTCCACTAGAGAATCCTGATCTCACCAAAGCAGCCTCTGGGTCCATAAAGCTGAGAACCTAGTTAGTAGGCACTAGGGACACTTGAGGAAAAAATGGGAAAGGTCTACACTAGGAATAATAGGTGAAACTTCTCCCAGTCCCCAGAGCATCATGAGCAAATGCCACAATGTTCTTGCTTGAAGGGATCAAGATAGACATGTTTGAAGTTGGAATTGCCTTGTCCCTGTCTCATGAGTGATGGTAGCAAGTGTATTCAAACACCTTTTCCTAAAATGATGCCACCTCTCCATGGCTGCACCAGAGGCTATAGCTTCAATAAACTAGAAGACAAAGACATCAGTTTAACTTTCCTTGTGAGCACATCGCACGTGCTCAAATTGGAATTTCAAATCTTTGGGAAGTTAAAATTTAGAATCAAAGGATACAGCAACATTCTCTGAAGTTTGAGTACCTTAAGACACCTCTTTTAGATATAACAGTTGCAAAGAAAGTGTTATGACAAAAAATATGATCTGTAGTTTTGCAGAGAGAAAATATTCTTCAGAGCTTATCATTTTTTTAATCAAGCAGTTTGAAGAACCTTTAGTTTTTGAGGCAAAGGAAAATAATTATAAGTCAGAAGTGAAAGATAAAAGTAGTCTTGAAAAGCTCAAACTTACAAAAACCTCATGAAATTATTACCAAATGTAATATAGGACAGGTTATGTTTTACATCCAGAACGTTCTTTTTATCTGAACTCAACCTGTGCATTCAGAATTTTTTCATAAATTTTTACTGGCTGACACATGATTGATGTCCAACAACAAAAAGTTGAATAAATACATGAACTTTTATTGCAGTCACTTTATTTTGGTCACTGGCCTCTCCATAAACTCCTTTCTGCCTTTGCATGGGCCATCTCTTCCACAATATTACAAGACACACTACATTCTATGTATTTTATCAGTCTTATTGACCACTCTGTACCTTAGATCATCTATCTATTCTCTGAATGGCTTTCTATGGCTTCTTTTTACTACTTTAAATCAGTTGGCCACTAACCCAAGAGCTCCTAGTCCCTGTTCCCCATTGAAACAGAAGTATTTTAATTTTCAAATATGAGCTATATCTATTTGCTTACCCTCACTCTGCCTGATTTCTCTTACTTGTAAAGTAAAAGTAATAATAGTATGGTTTAGAAATGAGGTGTCCCTCAAAAGCTTACTGTGAAACAACTCAAGAATTTTCAGAAAAGAGATGATTATATTATGAGAGGGGTAAACTTATTTGTGGATTAATCCACTGATATGGGTTAACTGGTTGGCAACTGGGTGATAACTGGGAAGGTAGAAAGAAAGAAGTAGGTCGCTGGGATCATGTCCTTGAGGTTTATATATTTTGTTTCTGGTGAGCAGAGATCTCAAGATCTCTGGATCTCTCCCTCCCTCCCTCCCTCCCTCCCTCTCTCTCTCTCTCTCTCTCTCTCTCTCTCTCTCCACTTTCTGGTTGCCATATTCTGAGCTGCTTCCCTTTGCTCTTCCTTTCCCATATCAGGACCAGAAATGTGGAGTTGGTTGACCATGGACTGAACCTCTGAAACTGAGAGCCACAATAAGCTTTTTCTCTTCTAAGTTGTTCTTTTCAGGTCATTTGTTCAGGGATGAGAAAGGTAATTAAAACAAATAATCAGAGGCCGCGGGTGGGGAAAATGGCAGACGGGGAAGGCAGGAGAGGAGAAGCCTGAAAAGCTGCAGCAAGTTGGAGCCGCCGGAGGACCTGAAGAAGAAGCAGAAAAACCTGTGAAAACTAAGACTGTTTCTTCCAGTAATGGAGGGGAAAGTTCCAGTCGCAGCGCTGAGAAGCGATCAGCTGAAGAAGAAGCTGCAGACCTCCCAACAAAGCCTACAAAGATCTCCAAGTTTGGATTTGCCATAGGTAGTCTGACAACAAAGAAAGCATCAGCCATATCCATCAAACTTGGATCAAGTAAGCCTAAAGAAACTGTTCCAACTCTTGCTCCAAAAACCCTTTCAGTAGCAGCAGCTTTTAATGAAGATGAAGACAGTGAACCAGAGGAAATGCCTCCAGAAGCAAAGATGAGGATGAAGAATTTTGGAAGGGATACACCAATATCAGCTGGACCAAACTCTTTCAATAAAGGAAAACATGGGTTTTCTGATAACCAGAAGCTATGGGAACGAAATATAAAATCTCATCTTGGAAATGTTCATGACCAAGACAATTAAATGATGTGTTTTGAAATTGGGGTATGGGGTGGGTGTAAAGTTAAAAGGAACAGTTTCCTTTTTTAAAGAATGGTATAAGACTATCTTTGGAGCCGCTTTTTTTTCTTTTTCGTTTTTGTTTTTGTTTTGTTTTGTTTTTTAAGATTGAGTGGTACACTAATAAATGAGAGTTTGAAATTAGAGGTAATTTATGTTTTATATACAGATTTCAAGACATTTGCTAATTTTGTAGTTTCATGTGATTAGTTTCCAAAGGTTACAGATAATAAAGAAATCAGAAATGGTACCTTTTTAAGAATTGCATATTTTTTTAGGCACAACTATTAGCACATTAAGAGGGAAACAAAAAGTTACTATCTTTTTAAAACTGCAAGCAGTTACTCTCCTAACTTAACTCCCTCATTACCTAAAGTATCTGGTTCCCAGGAACAGCCTTATAGAGAGAAGGGAGTATTGTACTGAGAGGAAAATGTTACTGGACTATTGACTGATAATAAATTTAGATAAAATTAAAATACAGCTTTTTTTCCTTATGGGCATTTGTTTTGTTTCAAGTCATCATATACTAGGTATTGGCATTGCTATCAGTGGATACAAACGCTTAGCTCTTAAAAATGTTTTTATTTCTTTTTTAATTTTTATGTGAAGTATCGAGTATTTGAAATGGGTCTTGTCTACCTTCATTAGTCTTCAAAGAACAACCATTTGCTACCAAAGTAAATCAGTATTCTGAATGTGCTTCTCTTGGTTTTTATTCATAACTAGTTCCTGTAGGCATTTCCACCAGAACTTGAGGCAAATCATAAGGAAGCTGTTTCTTTTAAAATACAAACCACCACCAACAATTTAAATGTATATAATACTTAAGCGTTTGGCTGGTTTTTATTTTTTAAAATGTATAAAAACCAAAAAAAAAAAATAAAAAGAGAGAGAGAGAGAAATTTAACATTGTATGAAGACAACATGAGAAGATGCACTTTCTGTAACTTTGTCTAATCATTTTAGTTACTAACTTGTTAAACCCAATTTAAATTGAACTCACTGCAGGATTTCTTATTAGTATAATCCTATGGTTTATTTGAAATATATATATATATATATTTACTGACCGGTGTCTTCTCAAAAGCACATTTTAGGTACTAAAAATAGAAGGAAAGAAGATGCATCTTCAATTACATTTTATGAAATCTCCCATCACATATACTATTAAGATTTGCATATCATAAGGTGTTTGTTTTGTATTTTTGTATTGTATATGGACATTATTTTTTAATGTGACAAACACATTAAAAGCATAGTCACAGACAATAAAAATATGGTAATGTGATTTCTTTGAAAACTCCTACAATGTTAAATTTGGAGGCAGCTTCAAACTATTTTATTGGTGGTAATTAACTCACTGAGCTCTTTTAATTGGAGAAGCAGCCTGTATATATTCCTAACTCTTGTTCACTTGCATTTAAGTTTAGAAAGAGCCCCAAGTAAAACAATGGAAATGTATATACAACTATTAGTTCTTAACATGATTTAATTATATCAAGAAACATGAATTTAACTTACTTTTATGTAGGCAGACTATCCATTTTGTCCATTTTACTGTTTGTTAAAATAACATCCCTCTCCTACATATTCTTCTCTTGACCCAAATGAAATATTAACCAAAGGTCAAGATGAGGAGAGAGAAACGACTGAGATGAATGTCTTTACTAAAATACCAATAAATTTTGTCAAACTCAAAAAAAAAAAAACAAATAATCATATGAACTTCATAGATAATGAACAAATTTACATATAAAGTGATCAGAACAGGACCAACTACAAAGTCAGAAATCAATATTGGTTATTAAGTCACACAGACAGACACACACACACACACATACACTCCAAAACATAAACCATCCCTCCTCCTGTCTCTCATCTATATGGGCTGTCACTGTGAAATAGCATGAAGAGCCCTTATCACATGAATGTTCATTACTGGAAGAGTGACAGCTGCTCCCAAAGTGGTGCCTCCTGATCTACCAACAGGGTCAGCTGGTAGGTTGGCTGAGTGAAGCCAGATTCTGTGCAGGGAGGGTAATGCCTTTGCCCCTGCTCAACTCCATCTGTGGCCCTATATCCCTGAGGCCTCTCTGACTGTGGCCAGAGCTTAAATCGGAGGTCAAAGGGACATGTGGGTCAGTTTATTTCCGCTATGGTGCCTCTCTTATGTTCTGGACTCCTTCCCTAACTTCCCCATAACATTTCTGGTGTCTATCCAAAATTTAAAGCTAAACATTTCTGCATGTGTTATATCAGTTTTGTTCAAGAATATCTTTACAAGGATGTTTGTATAGCAAATAACCTTGAAAGTTAGAGATAGTGTCTTCCTTCAGGTAGAAAACAAATTTATTTTCTCACCAGGATATTAAAGATAATGTCTCCCTTCAGGGAAATATTTAGGCAGGTTTTCTTAGAATCCACTAAAAAATATTAGGATTTCCTAAGAAACCTGAGATTTGTCCACTCTGAGGCACAGTTCCTCTCAGATCTCCTTGCCATGGGACTTGGAGAGAAAAAAAAAATGATACAAATATGAAGGTCTTGCTGCTTGCTGTACCATTTTTTCTCTGACTTGGGAATGCTGTAATTTCTATCAGCATCCATGAAATAAGTTAGCTTGCAAATAGAGGGAAATCTTAGTTATTGACAAAGACATAACAAGCCTTAGTAGAGTAATTTGCTTTTCTAAGCCTTGAGATAAGAAAAACTAGTTAAATGTATTGAATGCTTAAATATGCATTATACATATTTTGTATTATTCTCTATGTTTGTATGTGTAGACATCCTTATGTTGTAGATGAATATTTTACCAATAGATTAGGGTAAGGCATTGAGCTATAGCATTTGACTTCCCTCCAGAAAATTAAAGAACATCATGTACAGTGTTTGCCCTCTATTCTTAGACAATTCAGGAAAATGAGAATATATGTAATTACCGTTACAGCTTGGCCTTCTCTCTCTCATTAATGAATAAATAAAGAATACATTAAATAACTATTACCAAATTTAATTATATGATGAGGAAAAAATGGCTTAGCCATTAAAAATATTATTTTAGTAAAAGATGAATCATGTTTGATAAATTACTTGGACACATGAAAACTGGTACCTATGGATTATACACAACCAAGTTACAATCCTCCACAAATGCACACAGTCCTGCCCCACATAATAACATTTCTGCCAACTGGGCACTGTATGTGTGACAGTGATCTCATCAAGTTAAGTGACATCACAGCCAGTGTAGTGTATGTGAACACACTCCATGATATTCAGGTAATACTGAAATTATCTGGTGGTGGATTCCTCAGAACATATATAGTTAAGAAACACATGGCAACATTTCAAAGGCATCAGGTTTGCCATACAAATTGGCCCAAGCAATACATAGTGTTTGACACTGTGAGTGAAGGGATGGCAAGAAATATGCACACAAAGAGGAAAATTTATTTCAATCTTTTTAAGGCTACAATTAATTGAACCATTCACTACAATGGAGACATTCTTAAAATAGGAACAATTTCCTGTAAAGGTGGGGTTCCTTTTGGAAACTAGGTTGCAAGTCACTCAAAAAAACAAATGTCTAAGATGAGGAATACAAGTTGTATCCCTCATATGGTGACTGATATAAATAGTTTTCTCTGTTTGATTTGCCTAATGTTACTTTCATTTTTAAAGATTTATTTATTTTTTATTTGTTTTAATTAGTTACACATGACAGTACAATGATCTTAACATATCATACATTTGAATCAGATGGGGTATAATTTTTCATTTTTTCTGAGTGTACAGGTTACAGAATCACATTGGTCATACTTTCATTTTTAAAAACAAAATTTATGTATAAAATAGATTATTGTCCACATAGCTTGGCTATAGGTACAAAGGATAATATAGTGAAATGTGGTCATTGTCAATAGCATTTGGTCTTATATGATTATACCATGTATAATTTTTCCACAAAAATAAATCTACTAATCAGTTATCATTATTTTATGCATCCTGAGCATGGTGAAGGGAGAGGTATATAAATTTCCCCCATTATTATTCATTCAACACTTTGCCTTCTATGTTTTGTGACCATTGTTTATATGTTCCACCTGCTTTGCGATATCTTGATATCAATAGCATAGCATTCTACTAGACTGAATTTAAAGTACATGCTATTTCTATTTTTTTTCTTTTTTCTTTTTTTAAAACATATTTTGGCTTTAGAAGAAGAAAATAGTCACTTTAGCATGAGCCAAAGAGGAGAAGACACAGGTGCTTTAGAGACGCTGTTTTCTTAGTTCCACATGTGTGCCTTGTGTTTAGGGCCTCTGCCGTGAGCCTGCCCTTTGGACAGACACCTGCCACCAGGCCTGGAAGGAAGGTGAAGTCATACCTGCTCTCTCTCCATCATCTCAGCCAAGTGCACACTGAGCCACCAGCTGAGAGTCAGACAAGATTCTCCCTCACAGATATCTGCTAGTAAATTGCTAATTGGAGGTTTTCAGGTCTTCGACTCTAAAAGCAAAAATTTCGGTTTAAGTTTAAAGGGAAGTTGGAAGCAATATTTCATGAGGAAAGCACTGGAATTGAAATCTGAAGATGGAAATGCAAGAAGAACATGAAGATGGGTTTTTCAAAAATTTTCAAAATTCTTTTCTGGTGAAGAAAATTAATGATTTGTTGGTCTGCTTTCTAAATTTGGATGCAGGTGCCACAGTGGCCTTTGAGATGCTACTGTTATGCTGTCAACCTGGCTGCTGTCCAGCTCTTCTGCCCCTGCTGCAGTCAGGGGGTCTGGGGCACCTAGACTATAAGGCAGTGCAAAGAAGACTGGATTAAAAACTTCTCATCTCAAATTCCATAAAACCTTATGGAACTTTATGCTGTGGTTCAGATGCCTGGGTTGATTCTGCATCTTGCTGTCAGAACTTGTTTCCTCATCTTTCCCTCAGGGCCACACCTGGATTCCATGATTCTGCCTGTGCAAAACTCGTCTGCCACTTGTTCCTGACCTGTCATACCAGAGCACTGGACCCTACATCAGCCTGGTGCCTGAGCCATGGAAGCTGCTTTAGCTTAACTACTTGAGCATTGCTGCCTGCCTGGGAGACACACAAAATTCACACGGTTCTCCAATGTTTATCTAATTCATGGTATCTGTCTAGTTGGTCTCATTGCCCCATGTCTAGCTTCTGTGAAATCCTTCATTAAATAAATAAAGGTTGGCACTATAGACATTAAAAGCAGATACCCATCATAATTATAAATTTTGTAATTATTAAAATTCACTGAGTAATTGCTTCTGGCCAGAAATATGTTTCTTGTTTTCCTAGGGAATTCCTTGTCTGGTTACCATAGCAATAATATACATTTGGAAAAAGAAAGCAATGATTTGATTAAAATTTGATTGAATATTTTATTCCTAGATTATGTTACAAAACCTTTTTTTCTTTTCAAACTGAATTAATTTTACCTCTTATAT